GTTATTGCCTCATTGGGATTGGTTTATTCCTTACTTTGTGGGTGAAGTCGGATTCTGAAGGTATGTAGTAAACACAGTCACTCACCTGCCCCCCAAACTTAGGGGTGGGGGGCAGACGGCCTCAGGTAACACTGATTGGTGCCAGTGGGATTTCTGGAACCCTCTCCTGGACCCTATTCTTGCCCCTGTACCTCTTCCATGTACCTCATGCTCCATCCTCAGGGCCCTTCTACACCTTTGCCCTTCGGGAGACTTCTGTCAGGAAAAGTGAATGACGGTCAGTGCTCAGTGGTTACTATTTTCAGGGGTACTTGTATTTGAATCAAATATGAGAGGTTTTAAGCAAAAGGAATTGATGTCTAGCTAATGACTTTCAGACATTAACAAAACCAGTAAAAGCAAGGGCCCCAAGAAAAAACAAAATGGGGGTGATGAATGTGGTGTGTGTGTGAGACAGAGAGATTTGGAGGGATGCCACCCTGGGTTCCTAAAATTTTTCCACCCAAAGATTGGCCTTGTGGGTGCCCATGGACAGAAGAGGGAGCCCAACTATCTACAGGGCCATGACATGAAACATATGGGTAGAATATTATTGGAAAGGCCCTAGAAGCCCTGTAAACTCTGCTCGGCCAGCAAGCCTCTGACTGATTCACTCTTTCAACCTACATGCCAGGGCCCGTACAGACCATGTGTCCACCATGCGGGAAAGGCCTTTGTCTCGGTTATCTCCCCTCACCATCCCTCCTCACTTTCTCTTTCTCCTCCCTCCTCTCACACCACGCTGGTCCCCTGGATGTAGAAGGTTTAGATGTTCAATGGGATGTTCATGTCCACTGCAGGGATAACTGAAGGAAAGGCAGGAAGGTGTGTGCTCAGAGCCAGGCCACCAAATCCTGGCCACTGTAGACTTCAACAGAAACAATACTGATCTAAATCTGTTGTTTTCAGCCCGAAGTGATCCCTTCCCCCAGGACTTTTGGCAAATGTCTAGAGACACTTTTGGCTGTCCCAACTGGGAAAGGGCACTACTATCATCTAGTGGGTAGAGGCCAGATCTGCTAAACATCATGGAATGCATGGGACAGCTCTCGGCAACAGAGAATTATCCAGCCCAAAATGTCAGTAGTGCCCAGGTTGAGGAACTGGTCGAAACGAAGGTGGAAAGAGGACCCTTAGGTGATTCCAGCACCGGGGTGGCACTCTGCAGAGAGGAGCGCTCCTTATTCTCTGACCTACTACCTCCCGGCAGTCCAGGATATATTTGCACTTGCATGTGTTCTTCCCCACTTCAGTGGTGGATTCGACCTAAGTCTGTTTGTGAGCGGTCACGTCAGCATCCAGTAAATAATTCACCACCAACATTGCCCCACGCACGGTTATAGACACCACAAGGGACAACTACAGCAGCAACTACAAAATTAGTTAACATTCATTGAATCATGGCAAACACTGTGCTTAGCATTTTATGTGAATTCTATCCATTAATATTGCACGACGACCCTGTAGAAGAACTATGAACAGAATCCCCTCTTACAGATAAGGAAATTGAAGTTCAGGAAGGACCAGTGGATTGCTCAAGATTACCAGCTTGTAACTAAATGGTGGAAATGGATTGCAGCGCCAGGCACTTGGATTCTAGGGTCCAAACTCCTAGCTACTAGACTGCACAGAGAAAATAAAGACGCTGTCCCTGAAACAAACGCAGGCGTCTGTATTTAGATTAGTCACGTTAAATGGTAATTTCCAGGAAATTTCATCCTGATTACCCTGTTTGCTTCTAATTTCACAATTTGCCTTGCAAGCCCCAAATTCCAGCTCAGAATAGAGTGGTTTAAAGGCTGGATTGTGTCTCCCCAGATGATGAGGCCAGTAGCTCCCGGCCGCAATCGCGCACTGTGCTAGCCCCCAACAACCCAGGCAGCGGAGGAGAGGCTTTGACTGCCGGCCAAGGCCTCCTGGCTGGCACTACCCAACGCCTGGACTATTTCTGCATTCAGACCGGGCAGAGACGGCAGGGTGAGGAGTGTTTGAGCGGAAGTGAGTTGAGACTCAAACGCGGGTCTCAGCCCTTCCCGGCGACTGCGGGATTCTGAGAGCCCCAGGGCGCCGCAACCGCCTCCAAGCTCCCCAGCGCCGCGCTCGCGTCAAGACGTCGGTTACGACTGGGACCCCCACAAGGAGGCTGCATCTTTCGCCCGCTGCTCCCTAGGGCAGCCACCAGAAAGCAGAAAGCCCGCTCTTCTGGAAGCGGGGCCGGGAAGCGGAGAGCAGGAAACTTACGTTCGTGGGAGAACAGGACCCGCGCGGACCTGGCGCGCAGCTGTGGATCTGCAGATTCTGCGAGCAGCTGGGACAGGAGGGACCCCTAGGCAGGTGGCAAAACTGAAGAATGCAGGGTGAGGATGAGACGCAGGGCGTGGGGAGGGGGTATTCAGCCTCTTCACATATCTCCTAGCCCCGTTTCCACACACCCCCATCCCCCAACTCAGCTCTCTGGCAGGCCCGAAACTGCATTTCTGGTCGAGGGATCTGTCATTGAGCGCTGGCGAGAACCTATCGCACGTGCACAAGACCACCCTCTCCTGTAATCTAGAGGAGAAGCGGGCAGCAAGCAAGCCCTTCCGACCTCCCATATACCTGTCCCTTGGGGGTCATGCTGCCACCAGCCTCCAAATCCCAGCCAAAGGCAGCCTGGCAGGTTTCGCTGGAGCGAAAGGATGCGCGCAACTACACTCACAGAAGGGCCCTAAAGTAAAACTCAGAAAGTATCAGAATCATCACTGATGATAAAACACTAATTGGGATTCTATTCACAGTATGTCCTGAAGCACCTTGACTTCGTTTACATTGGTACAATGCCGCCTCCCGGGACGGCGGAGAACCGGTCCCCCGAGAGACTGAGGTTCAAACTGATGGAGACTCTCATCCGTCTCCGTCAAAACTCCGTCTTCCTGCTCCAGGAAAAACGAGAAAGGGCTTCTCCGTGGGGAGCCAGATCGCGCCCACTCCTGTTCTAGGGGAACTGGAGAGATTCCCCACACTCAGCTCGATTTGAAGGAAAAGATGGAAGGTTTTAGAAATGAGCCCCACAAATGTTGAACAATCCCCACTGGAACATCTTTCTTGCTGAAAGAGACGCGTTTGTTTGCTTTGCTCCGATACTGGGAATTTGGCACTCCCCAGGGTGCCTTGGGTAGGGGGTGGGTTTCTGGTAGGAAAAGAGATGGCCCAGGTTTCCAGGACACAGAACGCGAGTTTTCAGGGGACGGTGAGAACCCTTATCTGCTGTTTCCTGCGTCTGATTTCCCGACCCCAGAAATACGCCCCCTCCTGTGGCTGTGCGCTCTCGGTCTTGGCAGAACCCCATGCACCTCCTTTTTCTCCTGGTCTATCATAGCACACAAAAAGCCCCGCTGGGGCTGGGCTGGGGTGTGGATTCTAAGTGGTAGGGGAATGTGGGATTGTAATGAGAATTCGTGAGAACACGAGGTCCCACCGCCACGGGGTCCGGCTACACAGAGCCCCAAACTGGGACTCCCTGAGGCGGGATCGCTCCAGGGTCCTCGAATTCCTCGCCTGGAATGGTTTGCGACCAAAGACGCCGAAGACGGAATTTGTCTCAAAGCAATGCGCAGAGGCCCTTCTGAGAAGAGGCCGCGTCATCCTGAAGACTCAGATTTTTTCCCTAATGAATCGTCAATCTGAGCGCAGCGAAGGAAGGATTTCGTGCGCTCGCAGGGGAGTGGTTCCTGTCCTCTGGGCTGGAGGCAGAGATAACGAAACATTTAGAGCCTGGGGGTGGACCCCAGGCTGGATAGGAGGCGCTGCAGGGATCTGGACCGGAGGCGCAGCCCGGGAGATCTCTCGCTCCTGTCCCTCCAGCTCTACTCTCTGCGCTCCAGGGGGCGTGTGAGTCAGACTGGAGCCAAACATTCGGGAGCCCGAGCGCACTGGGTTGGCGTGGAAAGCCGGGTCCCCGCGGGGCTGCAGGTGCGGGGAGGGGCTCGCTGAGCTGTAAAGTGAGGAGCCAGCTCTACCCCGCAATCCCATCCCCAACCCGACGCAGCAGGGAGGCACAATCAAGGTCGGCGCCTGTCTAATCTAGAGTGGAGGCCTCGGGGCCCAGAGCCACCAGCATTTCTAAGAAAAAAAAAGTTTATTTAAAATTTTGTACATAAATAAATAAATAAATATCTTCTGGTATTACAGAGACGGTACAATTACACAGCTAGGCGGGGCAGTGCGGGAGTGGGGTGGGGGTACGGGGAAGAAGGGTCGCCAGAGGCGGAGAGCCAGGGGCTATGTTTGGGGGAATGCAGAGCTTGTCAGAAACCGAATGAATCGGTTTCCCCAATACGTACACCACGGGCATTTCTCCTATGGGAGAGGATCTGCGGGCACTGAGGACAGCAAGGCCTGATGAAGGGACAAACGGACTGTCTGAATGAGGAGGCTCCCAAGGCGGGGAAGGGAAAGGGAAAAGAAAGTTCATAAATGAAGGGGCTGGGGGGACGGGAGATGTGGATAAACGACCAAGGAAAGAGGTGGGGAGGGAGAGAAAGACATTTTAAAAAAGAGAGAAGTGAACGGGCATGGGATGAAAGGCAGAACTCAGCCGTGGGCAGAGAAGACTAGAGGAAGCAAGGAAACCTGAGCCAGCCCAGAGAGGGCGGGCGAGGAGGCGCGGGCGGCCAGCGAGGCGCTGTGCCAGGCGGACGTGCCCGAGGGCTGCCGCGCTGCACTGCCCAGGAGACCTCAAGCGTTTGCAGGGTCACAGTTTGGAGTTCGCTTTGGATGCACGCGAGCCCTGGGGCAGGGATATCACTGGCAGGTCTCTGCACAGCTCTTAGCCCTGCCCAGGGCCCGGGGCCTCCGTAAAGCCGTGCCAAATCCGCGCGGGGCAGTCGTTTGGCAGCGGGTGCCTGGGAAACAGCGCTGCGTCCCAGGACCAGTCTATGAGGCGCAGGGAGGTCTTGGGGTGAGCGACCTAGAGAGACGCACGCCTAGGGAGTGACCGTGAGATCTCGGTCGTCCTTCCCCGAGGAGGACGGAGACATGGGCAATTCGTCGTCATCCTCGGAGCACTTGGCTGAGGAGAGCGACGCGCACTTGCAGCCCTGCGGTGCGCCCCCGCCAGCGCCAGCACCCCCGCTGCTGCGGTGGTTGCCTCCCTTGCCCTCCTTCTTGTGCTTCACCCGGCGGTTCTGAAACCAGATCTTCACCTGCTTCTCGGACAGATTCAGGTAGGTCGCGATCTCGATGCGGCGTAGACGGGACAAGTACATGTTGGAGGCGAACTCCCGCTCCAGCTCTAGCAGCTGCGTGCTGGTGAACGCCGTGCGCATCCTCTTGCTGCTGGGCAGCTGGTTCGAGCTGCTGTCTAGAGAGGGTGGTGGAGCAGAGAGGGAAGGGGTCAGACCTTTGTGCGGTGGGCCCAGTCTCCCGCTAGAATCCCATGACTTTGGTCTCTCGCCCACCCCTTCTCCTTGAACACCACCCGCAACAGCGCCACTTGGAGCGCCTGCTTACCGAGCTGCGGGATCCTGGTTCTCCCAGAGTCACGCAGCCCTAGACCCCCTTTATGGAGCGCCCTGGACCCCTCTCCAGGACCTGGACTTTTGCCATCACCCCCTTCTGGCGTCGTGTTCTGGCCCTTTATCTGCGCACCACTCTGTGCGCCCCCCTCAGGTCCCCGACAGGGCCCTCTCAGCCCCCAGAACGCCCTGGGTCCCTCTTCGCCCTTTCCTGGCCTCTTTCCCCCAACCTGCCTCTGATCCACCTCTGCCTTGTGCCTCTGCGCGGCGGCCCCGCTTACCCACGGAGATGCAGTGGAACTGCCTGGGGTCCGGCAGTGGGTAGGAGGTCTGGTAGAGCGCGGCGGCGGCGGCAGGGCCATGAGCGACCCCGGGCGACACGGCAGAATGCTGGCGGCCCAGGGGCGCATGGCAGTACTGCGAGCCGAAGGGCGGGAAGGACGCCTTGAGCAGAGGCAGAGCGGGCGGCCCGGGGGGCCCGTGCAGCTGCGAGGCGGTGACGCAGAGCGGGCATACGCACAGCAGCCCGGCCTTGCGCGCGTGGCAGGCGCCGGGCGAGAGACCGTGCAGCGCGTGCGGCGGAGGCACCGCATAGGGGAAGAGCGGCGGTGGGCTGCCCTCGGGTGCCTTCTTCTCGCCCGCCTCGCGCAGCACCAGCGAGTCCACCAGGAAGGAGCGCGGCATGGCCCCGGCGCGCGGCCGCCCGGCAGCCAGCCCGCCCCCTGCGCCCGCCGGACCTCCGGGCTCTCCAGGCGCTCTCTCGGGCCTCCGCCGCCCGCAGCTGGCTGTGCCCGGGCTGGAGGAGCGACTGGGCCGGGGCTGAAATCGACGCAGCAGTAGCCGCGGGCGCCGCCCAAAGAGCGCGGGGTGCTGGCCAGCGCTAGTGGTGCTGAAAGGCGCCGGCGGCGCGGCTTAAATAGGACTATTGCCATGTGATGGGCTACGCCAGGAGCGGCCGGGGCCTCTCAATAGGGTTTTTGTGCCTTTTCTCTTGGCATTCACTCTGCACGCTTCCTCATTATTTCACTTGTTAACTAAATGAACTGCATAATGTACTCTATTCTTGTCAACCCCACCCACGCCGTAACAGGCGCCCTCGCCCCCTCCTCTCCCTTTTGCGGGTTTATTTTCTCATTCTCCCGCGATTTAATATTCTTTTCTTTCTCTTTATTCCTTACTCCCCTTTGGCTTTGCCATGGCGATCGGCCCGTTTATCTTATTGATTTTGCACCCCCGCTGCCTCGCCTCTACAGACCGATCCCCACGGGCGCACACCCCCATCTCTTCTGCCCACTTGGTCCTGGTCCCCTGCTTTCTATTATCTCCCCTGCCCCCAAAAGCACGCTGCCTCCACTCAGTTCTGCCAGCTCAGCTCTGTGCCCCTGCGAGCGTCCCTGCAGCCGGCCTCCCATCCACCTGTGGAATCCCTCTCCTCTCCCTGTGTCAGAAGCTGGAGGCCCAGGGTTCGTGCGCGAGGGAGGCGCCCGCGGGGAGGGAGGAGAAGGGTCCACTGTTCCTCATCCAGCACTAGCCCCATCGCGGTCCCTCTGTTTTCTCTAAGTTTCTCAGGTAGTCTTAACTTTGGCACTGCCTGCAACGCCCAGTCTTTGTTCCGCAGACACTGGCCATCCAGCCCTTTCCTTCGAATGACAGGGCCTTGCGTGTAAAATAGAGAAAAGTAGTCGCTCAGAGTCAAAGACAGGCACAGGGAATGGGGAATGGAAGCCTAGACGATGCAGATCGAGATCTCGCACCCACTTAAATGTGGCGAGCGTGGACGTCCCGCTGCACTGGCGCACGCTCGGGTAGCGCGCTCAGAAACCACCGCCTCCGGCAGTGTCGGCGGCGCGCAGGGCAGTTGTATTCCCAGCTTCTGCTGCTTTCGCCAACCCTGACCCGGCTCCGCTGTCCCCAAGGCCAGGCTTCTTCCTCCTGCCGCGTCACTCTCTTCTTTCTGGTCACACAATGGTTAAACAACTTCAAACGCCTGGCGCAGGGTACACAGTCTCGGCTTTTTAAATCGTCCTCGGGCTCAAAGCTGTTTCGCTCAGGAGCTTTTTCCATACAATGGGAAATTAGCATAAATATTTCGAATTTACAGCCCGGGACTTTTCACTGGAGACGTTTACTTTCGATTTTATTGGAACCAAATCGCTGCCATCACCTGCTTTGAACCCTGAATGGAATTGTGAGAAATGGAGGGGGAAGCGTGGGGGTAGGGGAAGCAGTGCACAGGAGTAAGGCTACCGAAACCCTAAGTGTTTGCGTGGGTTTTCATCACTGATGACATCTCTGCAATGACAACAGCAACACATTATAACTGATTAAAAAGCAAAGAGACTTTGTTTTGGAAGGAAAAACCCCCGCTTCCATAAAAGGGAGAGGGGCAATGCGGGAAATAACCCGCACGGAGGGCATGCCATCTAGCAGGGTTAAGGGTTAGATGTTCCCCTGGCTGCCTGGCATGGGGGGGAGGGCACGGCTGCCCCCTACGCCGAGGTGTCGGCTCCAAGGCTCCCCCTCAAGGGTGGTGCCTGCAAACCAGCCGGAACGCATCAATGCAGCCTAATTCCCGTTCTAATTGCTCTCTGGGAAATTTGGGCTGGGCTGGGCCGCTGAGAGCCAGCCGGAGCGGGCCCCCGGCCCGGAGAAGGGCTCCCCGCTGGGCCGAGGCGGGCTGGGGGGGCGATGCGGGCGGGGCCCGCGGGCTGGAAGCGGCGGGCGAGGCGCCCGGGAGCGGAGCCCTCGAGGGGCCAGTACCGAGCTCTGCCCGGAGCCGCCCCGCGCGCGCAGGGAGGAAGGGGTTAAGAGCCCCTGAATGCGAGCAAGGCCAAAGCTACTGGGAAAGAATATGGGGGGGGGGTGGCTGGGGGAGGAATAACCAGTTTTTTCCCCCTCTCCCTCCAGCCTCTGGACCTTATTGAATGTCATTGAAGAAAGTTTTGAATGCCAGATAAAGAGAGGCGAATTAAAGTGTGTGACAGCGGAGGATAAGCAAACACAAAGAGAACTCTGTCACACTTTGGGGCAAAATCCGTGGGCTTTTTACCAAGTCTCTTCGCTATGATTGAATTAAGTAATAGGAAAACATTTTCTTTCAGTTTAGAGCCATTAGACAAAAACTTCAAAGCGAATAACACTTTTTAATGTGCGGCCCCACAATGGATCGGGTTTTGTGCTGAAATGTTTAAATGGTTTGTTGTGCAACTCGGCGCGGGAGAGACCGGGGCCCAAGCAAAACGGCGTCCGCGGCGGCGTTGTCGCCGGCCTGGAGCGGGCGCGCGCAGTCCGCCGTCTCGGAGCCCGCGGGCCGCGGCCGGGAAGAGCTCGGTGCCCACCGCGGAGGCGGCTCGGGCTAGCGGGCCGCAGGGGGTCGGGGCCGCCGCGCCCCGCCAGCCCGGCCCTCCCGACCCCGCCGCCTCTGCCCGCCGCCTGGTTTCCGGGGGCCGCCGCCCCGGGTCTCTCGCGCGGCGCCGCTGCTGTCCGTGCAAAGCGTCCCCCGGGGCTCGCGTCAGCCGGGTTTGAACTTACTCGCCCGGGCAAACGCCCCCTAGGGCGGGGCGGGCCGGGAGGAGGTGGCGGGATTAGCCTGACAGCCCGAGAGAGGGGCCCGGGGAGCCTCTCCGCCCGGCCGGCTCTGCCCCCGAGCTGGTTTTCAAGTGTCCATCAGGGACAGTTCCACACGGAATAATTTCTGTTGTTCCGGGCTTTTCTTTTCCTTTCATTCTGCCTCCTCTCCTACGGGTAGAGAGAACACGCCGTTTTTTCCTCCTGGAATCGTAGCTCTAGGATATTTGCAGCAAAAACTGCACAAATGAGGCGGTGGTGGTGGTCGTGGTTCCCTTACCTAGTTCCCGTTTTTCTTCAAATGTCAGTTTCCTTCTCGGAGAGACAAACGACCTTGTTTAAAACAGCATCTCTCTTTTTCCTTACTTTGTAAGTAAGCACCTTCTGACTTTTTGTGTCTTTGCTCATCTGTTTTTCTATCCCCCACCCCTGAAATACATGTCCAGGAGGACCAGGGTTTTTGTCTGTCTTGTGCATCGCCGTATCCCAACTGAGAAAGTCCCCGGCGCACAGTAGGAGCTCAGTGTATATTTGCTGAATGAAAAAGTGAATGAGAGAGATCTGAGCCAGGAGGTGGGGTGGCTAGGAGGACTTCCTGGCGTGTCTGCTTAATACACCTGAACACCTAGAAGCACCGCACGGAGCACATGACCGGTGAAACCAGGAGGGCAGGGGCTGTCTGAATCTCTCCCAGCCCACTCCGCAGCCCTACCCAGTGCCCTGATCATGACAGGAGCTCAGTGTGTTTGTTGAGTGAATGGCAGAAGGGCAAGTCAACATGTTGGTCCCTAGCCCTCCGTGGGAGGTTCTCAAGCTCCTTCATAGATGGTCCCATTCAAGGCAGTTCCAGTGTCTCGCTCTGCAGGAGTTGGACCCAATAGCTCAAGGTTAGGGTTTGTCATTAAGGTCTTTACATGGTATATAGGAGAGGGGTTGGTTAGAAAAGGAGATGTGGAATGATCAGTGACCATGTTTGCTTTTTCTAGCTGAAGGCAGTGGAGTGGGAATTCTCATTGTAAACAGAAGGTCTGCTCCCCTGACCAGACCAGTAGTGACTCCGGCAACTCCCTTGGGAGAGAACAAGCCATTCAGTTGAACAGGGGGGCAGCGGGAGCACCTGGTGTGCCAGGGAATGCTGAAGGGAGCTGGGAGACAGGAGAGGGAGGCACCCAAGGGAGAGGTGGGGGAGTGTGGTGCCCAGATCCGGGTATGGATGGGAAGTGGAGACCGGATCATGAAGGACCATGCTAACTGCTTTGGACTTGATCCTGTTCTGAGATTTTTAAGCAAGCGGAGTAACAGAGTTGGATTTGAACTTGAAAAATATAACTGGAAGCAGCAGGAAGTTCTATTGGTAGGGACAGAGAGAGGCCAGAGCAGGGTCCAACAGAGTTGGCTTGCAAATGAATATTTATTGGACTATTGGATGAACGAAGGTAGGGAAATGAGAAGATTGTATTGGTTCAGGCGATGGATGATGACTACCTGAACTGGGGTGGGGCAGGACCAGAACAAGGAAATATTTAGGAGAACTTGAAGGGTAATGTGTAGGGCCAATGTGTGTGTGTGTGTGTGTGTTGGAGTGTGATGGCATGAAAGAGAGAGGGAGCAAACATGCTGGAGACCACGTGGCTGCTTGTTTGGGGAAATGAGTGGGTGGTGATCTCAAAGACAGAGACAGGCAAGTCAAGAGTAGGACTGACTTTTGCCTGTTGGGGGTGCAACATTAAGTCATATTTTAGATGTGTTGCACTTTAATCCTTAATGTTCAGAGCATTCTGCTGACATCCTACAGGTAGGTGAAGATGTCAATCTAGGGATGAGTGGAGAGATTGGAGATGGAGAGAGACATCTGGAATTTATGTGTACAAAAATGGTTGCTTTAGTCTTAGGAAAAATGAGCACAAAGAGGGAGTGCAGAGAAAAAAACAGAGGACTGTAGATGCATCCCTAGGGAACTCCCATATTTAAGGAGGCGGGTGGAAGGAGGACAGCCTGCAAGACAAAGAAGACAGCCAGAAGTAGAAAGAGAAGTGAGCAAGACAGAAGAAAAAGGAAAACCAGGAGCTATACCAGGGAAACCCACATAGGCAGGGCTGCCAGGTTCAACAAATACATGCAGGCTACCCAGTTAAAACTTTAACTGTGTATAAACGA